ATATATATATATATATATATATATGCAACTCAATAAATTTCAGCTATTATTGTATTAAAATATATTATTTCTGTTACTATTACCAATTGTTTTTGAGGCACTTGTTTCTTTTATATCTGTCTTCAGTTAAAATGTCTAATATTGCAGTGAAAGGAGGATATGTTTCGTTTGTGTGTGTCCGTGTGTTTGTTATATTCACAAAATATCTCAGGAACTACCACCATTTTTATGAAATTCTCAGTTAGCAATTGTTATATGCACATTTAAAACTGATCAACCTTTGGGGTCAACTCAGTTTAAGATGGCCGACACAGCCCGATGACATTAGCCAACACAGAAATGGCTTTAACTCTGCCTGTTTTTATTATTATTATTATTATTATTATTATTAAAACGGCCATGACTCTGTCCATTCTCATCAAAAGATGATCCTAATTTAAAAGTCGGCATCAAAGGCGGCGGGTGATACGCTCAATCAATGCTGGCCTTTAATTTTTTTTAATTTTCAATATGATAAACACTTAAATAATCTAAAAATTACAAACAAGTTTGTAAAAATAAGTAGAGAGAACCAAACTAACTAAAGTGAATCCCAAGTCCCTTGAGTACAGAGGATGATTAGTGCCAAGGTGCAAAAACATTGATTTCTCAATTCTGACTTTATTCTCAGAAATTTAACTTTTATTTCAAAATTTTGAACGCAAGATTTTTCTGCACAGTGGTCTTCTGTAAACGAGGGCTGATTTATTTATATATGTATTTTTATTTCTGCAGTTATTGCTGTATAACTGCGGTATTTGGGGCAGAGCAGTCGTCCTCCAATGGGAGAGTTGTGGGTTAAATTTCAACAGCAGTCACATGCTGAAGTGTCCCTGGGCAAGACACTGAACCCCTCATTGCTTCCAATGTGTGTCCCATCGGTGTATGAATGTGATAAAGCTCTGATTAGTCTTTGTATAGATCTAGCAGAGTGCTGTATGAATGGGTAAATGAGGCACAGATTGTAGTGTAAAGTGTTTTGAGCCTTTGTAAGAAAGAAACGTGCTATACAAGTACAGTCCATTTACCATTTGTGTAAGAAGGTCACATGAGACACTGAAAGTGGTCTAATACTGCCACAAAAAGGGGATGAATTTGGGTTAAAAAAAATTGCTTTTTTAAAGATTTGACATTTATTTTCTTTGCTGTTGTCACTTTGATCCCCATCACACCATCAACAACAGAAGACAGTCAGAGGAGATTATTATTAGGCAGAAGCGTTATACAGTCACAGTGTGCTGAATATTTACCACATTATGCATTAAATGTGTTGGAGATGATGTCCACAGCATGAAAATAAATACGTTGTATAACTTTTCAATTGGATTGTTACAATAAACTGTCAAACCTTGACCTTGTGCAAAAAAAAAAAAACACAACAACAAATAAACAACTAAATCCCTTCATTAACTCTGAGTGAACTCTGCTTTGGACTCGAAAGAAGAACGACTCTATGCGTGTTAAGAATGTTACAATACCAAAGTAAAAACAAGCAGAATAAATCAAAATCCTTCCTATGCGGACGTCCTGCTGCTCTATACACATTTATGGAACAGAGTTGTACAACTGGCACTGATTGAACAAAAACTAACAGATACTGAAAACTGTAAACGTGCCAGCTCAAATAAAGTGCAGAATTTATTTTATTGTTTGTTGTTGGGAGGATTTATACAGCAACTAATGAAGCATTTTAATTTAAGACTGAATGCATGCTATTCTCACTTTTTGATATTTATACACTCACCGTTGAACAAAAGTTGAACTGGACTGAACTGAACTTGTTCATTATCTCTGTAAAGTGCTTTGAGAGACATTTTACTGTATTTGGATGAAGTCCAATTTATGTAATACATTGTTATTAAATAGCCCATCTGACACTCACTGACTGTCTCCACGATGTCGGTGAAGAACCCGTACGGCACGAGCGGCTCAGGAAGCTCGCGGAAGAAAAGTTTCAAAGCTCCTGTGACGACATGGATGTCCTCCCACTCGCTCTCGTCCAAATTCAGCTTCTCCTCTGAGACACGGGAGGGAGGAGACATGGGAGGGAAACAGTCAGAGAGAGGGGGGAGTGAAGGAAAAATAGGAGAATGTGTAAAAATGAAATAGTTCAGTTTAAACAGTGAAGGCGCAGCCACAGCATCAATATAAATATATTTCAGAGCTGAAGCACGACAGGAAGCTGCTGATTGAAGACAGGATGAGATGTGAGAAAACAGCTAAACTTTTAGTTTTTTGGACACACAAGCCTGACTGATGCGTCTCAAAGTGGATCAAAGCCAAACGGAGTGATTTAGTTTAATTTGATCACGTGTCAACAAATGACTGGTGTGAGGAAACAGAATCTGTTTGATCCCATTAAAGAACATCAGTCAGACTGCAGGATCAGAGATCGTGGAAAGCAGCCGAGTCTCATCTTCGTCCACTTGGTGGCACCCACGGAGCGTGCACGAGCTCGCTGTACAACCTGCTGCATGTTATTACATCAGAAAACTTGAAGCACAAAAAGCCTGAAGGGACACACGCATCAAGCAAAAATGGCTTCACAACAACAACAAAAGGCAAAAACAAAATGCTGCTCGGCGCTCGTCAGCTCTTCTCTTCGGCTCTTTGGGTGGGCATTCTGGGGACTTTCGGATCGAGTTATTCAAATTATGCAGCAACAACAACAAAAATCAACAAGCAGGCCGCGTTAGGAGCGAAAGCAGCTGTTTTCTTTCGTCTGCCTCGCCATCTACCTTGCACAAACTCCGCTGGGAACATGAACCGGCCGTCAGTGGTCAGCGCTCGCTCTGCAAACACCAACAGTTACTCAGGAGATGTTCACGCGTGTTTGGAGGAGCTGACAGACTGATCAGGTATACAGTTTTAGATTTCACACAGCTCCAAATTTAAATAATTGTGACTAAGTGGCTGAAAAATAGGAACAACAAGTCAAGTTTCTAACATCTATTTCGTTTTCCTTCATTAATTGACAGAAATGTTGGTATTCCCCCTTCATGCTCACCGTGGTCCACGAGAAAGCGAAGCTTCTGAATCACAGCCAGGTTTCCGGACACTCTGTAGATGCCGTCAGTTTCCAGTCCTGCAACACAGAGCCCATCAGACAGGAGCAGCTCCATCAGAACGTCCACATTTAGCTCTCACGTGTTGAACATCTGTATGGTTTTAGGCGACACCCTGGGATTTTAGCACGGTCTGATCTGATTGTTCTGCTGGACAAGGCAGGCAGCCACATTTTCTGTGACTCAATAATTCATGGAGCAAAGGAAGTCGTGTTGCGTAAGTCCCCAAAGATGTGCAACAACCGTGGAGCAAAATCACAGTTTTAGCACTTTTAACAATCAAAAAATATATATTTCAGAAATGAGGGAATATGTGGCCTCATCGTATGACTACACCTCTTTGTTGTTAAACTTCCTCTTAACATTTTGAACTTCCTCGCTTCATGACGATTCGACATAATCATATAAAGAAACAGAATTTCTTCTTTTTCCTCCCACAACTTTAAATTGACTAAATAGTTGGGGATTTATAAAAACTATAACGAAAGCCCAAGTTTAAGAGTATTGTGTCGTTTTAGTTTCAGCAAATCATGAAAAAGAGAACAAATCCGTTGATAATAAAAAAATATCCTTCAGATTCCCTGATGGAAGCATGGATTAATAATTAGAATACAAGCAAAAAGCTTTTGGTTTATTTCAGTAATTTACAGCCGTTCATTGTATTATTTAACATATGTTCAACATTTAGGTTCTTTTTGATGAATTTGATTATATAAACTGATCTAATTTTTTGGAGGTCTGTGTGTTACAGTTTGCTGTGACAAAAAAAAAAAATCAAGAAAAGCCACAAATTCATCAAAAAGAACCTAAATGTTGAACATATGTTAAATAATA